CCTAGTCTTGATCACTTCATACTTTTTCTCCTACAGRTTTCACCTCTTTGCCTGCCTTAGCCTGTATTCCACTACATTGAAAGAAGACTGCCAAAAGACTCTTCTTAACAGCCTCTTGGACTGTGCCACTCTCCACTTTTAATGCTAACTTTAGCATTGCTGTTCTTTACAGCTCCAGTTTCTTGGACTCTACTGTTAATTTTTAATGGGATTCATTATCCTCAGTACACTGATTACTTCTGGTCCTGAGGAGGATTCAGCTGAGTCAGAATGTTCATAGGGATTGCATATAAAAAACATACTAACTCCTAAATTTCTCAAATTACTTCTGAGCTCTTCGAGAGGACCTAAACTAGCAAAGGAATAAAAGATAATAATAGACGGTCAAGAGTTTGCAAATGGGCCATTTACAAATGGGCCACGTGGGTTTCACGTTCATACAGACTCTGAGTGGTTGGCATCAGTCCACAGGACTGTTGTTGGTTTTGCCCTCTTTGTACATCTCCTYTGCAGCTTTGGGACTTACCTCCAAAATTTGTATTTGTCTCTCCCCACATCCTTCAGAGATTACTATCCTTCCCTTTACCACAGCTCTAAAACSTATACTTTACAACAGGTTAATATGAAATGCTGTGTGTGAAAGGAGTGCAGAACTGGAATGTTTGGAAAACAAAAAAAGTTACTGTATCTAAATCCAGGTCACATATTCTCATCTCCCAGGAGTATTTTAGTTCCTAAATGCCATCCTCAAGCAAATGCCAAGTTGCAGTGGTTATCCAGTCATTTTGATATAGACCTTAAGACTGCAAACACAACAAAAATATACTAATAGAAAAGGGGAATTAAAAAAAAAATGCGACAGTTTATATCAAGAAAAAAAAGTCGGTGAAGAGATAGTTACAGATGTCTTTGGTCTTCCACACAGAGACTTGCTAACACTCAACAAGTGGGGTGGCTTCTTAAGGACACACAGTGTTTTTTCCCTCTATATCATGTCAGAAGCTCCTCACTATTGAAAATCTCAAATCCCTTTGAAAGTAACACCAGGCTGCACAAAAGAAGCCTAACTAGAAATCTACAAACACTGTACAGATCTTCCTAGTATTTTCCATTACTTAGGAGCAAACACAGGCATCTCCTTCCCCAGATTCCAGCCCAAGGAGCTGTTTCAAACCTCTGCTCTTCTGCCCGACTCTGTTACCTTTCCCTGGGGCAGCTCCTTAATAACACCAGAGAGAGAGAGCGCACTTCTTCCTGCTTCCCCAGCTCCAACCCCTCTGCTCTCCACTGGAAGGTGCAATTCCTGCCTCTACCACTGTTCCTAGGTCTCTTCTCATTCTACCTGTGTCCACTCTGTCACCCACTCAACTGCATCTCCAAATCATCWCATGCAGCTTCAGAAATAATCTGGCACCTACAGGGCTTCCCTTAAAACCCAGTCCCAAGCACAAAGAAGACCATACCAGCCAGAAGTGCCTGGGACTGCCTTGGCCAGCAAAGGGAATATAAAAACTGTTATTTGCAAGATGCAGGCCTGGGGATGAACAGTGTTAGAAGTTCAGTTAACAAGTGAAACTAAAGTCCAAATTATTTTCCATTTGGAAACTTGTCTATAGGTTTGAAAATTTAAACCAATGTCAGGCYGGTTTACATATTTCACTACTATTCTACCAAAAGAAAAGTCATCACAATCTACMTGGAGCTCATGATAATTCCTGAGAAGAGAGAAAAAAGTACAAGATATGAAATACATTTTTATTTTTTATTTTGCAGCTAGTGATATAATTTTACCAACATAGYTGAAAATTCACTCGAGATATCTTAAATTCTGCTAGAGCACGGGGCAAATGAAATGCAATTATTTCTTGAAATTTAAGTTTAACAGAGGCTTTCTGGAGATAGAAATTACTTTTAAAGATACTTTGGAACCCACTGAACCAGCATTCTCTGGGAATGGGCAAGGGGGTACAAGGAGAGATTAGTTTAATGGTTCCAGTTTGAAGATGTATACAGTGAGAGAAATTCTTCACGTAATTACCCCTCTTGCCCTTTCACAACTTATTTTTATATCYATACTGAAGAGCAAGTTAGTCCTTAATGAAATATAAACCAAACACACTTGGTTCAGCAAGCCCTTGGAAATCTTAGCTGTCTGAATTACCTTTACAAATGAGAAAACATACTAGGATTTTACTTTGGAGTCAATATCTYTGGGAAAAGATTAATTTGCTTAGTCCTCCTGATCTGTATTGCCACAGAAAATATCAAGCTTGGCCCTCAGCTGTGATTTTATGAAGATAAGCAGCTTTTGGCTGGACAGACAGGGAAATATCTGAGAGACAGGGAAAGAGGGAATTTGTTGAATGTAAATACTGACCTGTGGAAACCAGGCTGAAAAAAGGTCATGCAATTGATATGAGTCTTCCAACCCTCWATTTTCCCAGTGAGAGATTAAGCCCTACTTAAAATCAGTATCATACTGAAATAATTGCAGTTTCAAGAAATCTAACTTGAGACAGAATCTTACTAGGAATGCTAATAGTAATAGTAATAAAGGGATAACAAACCTCATATCAATTTTTAATCAGAAAGATATATATCAGATTGATACAAGGATGCTTGATACARGAGCATCAGGAATGCCACAGCGACCTTTTTTTTTTTTTTCTGAAAGCCTCATTAAGGATAAAAATGTGTAGAGTTGAAAATWATAGTGTGATTAAAATAAGAAGCAATGAGGGTACCCTCCATCCCATAACTTTCCAAATCAAAAGATACTTCCTTCTACAATRATTTTACAAGAGTGGAAAAAGCCTTCCTTAGGAACTCTTTTGTTTAGTACCACAATTGAAAGGAATGTGTGTCTGCAGGGAATTTGGTATGCTAGCCCAGGCTCTTAGCTAATGGACATTTTTGTAAATATTTAGAGCCAAGTCATGGATCTCTCCTCACTAGAGGTTTCCCTGAACTTMATAAAGGTAAAAGGTATGCTTGAATTTGACTTTACTGCCACAGAGCAAGTATATATRTAATTTAGACTGGCGCCACATGTGTTTTTTAGTGATTAGAAACCCCTCCTTTTTTCATTAAGAATAAACATAGTACTTCTAACAATATTAACAAACTGTAAATTGTACACTTTTTTTTTAAAAAAAAAAAAGCATTTTAAACAGAAAAAAAAGCAACAGCAAAGGTAGACTTACCAAATAAGTCACTCTATCCCTTAATCATAATCTAAACATGTTATCAATGCATGCACATTTATAAAATAAAGAAGTAATGAATATATATGTTCCCACAATAAAACCATGGATATGCTCTGGCTTATCTTGAGAGGGAACTACGGTACCATACTGTAGAAATCCCAAATTCCTAGACTTTTCTCCCCTAAAGATGAGCACAAAATGGTGACAGCTTTGATCCTGCCATGACATGAAATTGTAACCTTAGATGGGGCAAACAGCAGCACCTCTGTTGAACTGAGCTGCCTAAAACTGTTTCCTGATATGTACAGAAGTCATGGAAAGCAGATGGATAGCCAGCATTTCCCCTTGCCATCCCACAGGGTACCCCAGAAGGCAATTCCCTTCAGTCACCTTGCGGATGTGCTCCTGCAGCCCCCTGACTCCGTAGAGCCTCAGCACGAACCAGAGCTTCAGGGAGCGGAACCTCCTGCCCAGGGGGATCTGCCAGTGCTGCAAGCAGAGAGAAAAGCCCCTGTCAGAAGTCAGCACTGCAGTGACACAGCAGAAATYACATTCTGCCGAATTTTGAAGTGAACCACATTGCAACATTCTACAGGCAGTTGCTAGAGGTGAGTCAAATAATAGTAGAAATATTCCTGGTTARTGCCCTGTTTATTAATATTTATTAATACTGTTTAATACTCAAAATTTTCAAATTAAAATTGGCAAAGAAGGTTGGTATCAGAATTGAAGGGTCATGAGGCAAATGAAATTTTCTTTGTGCATCCTGMATTCTCCTGACAGGCTTTAGAAAAACAAGTATCTAGAAACTCATGCACATTGGCTTGTTTAAAGTTGTGGGGCTAGCAACTACAATGACAGGCACATTTTYCATTTCAAAACAACAGTGTTTCCATGGTAAAAGATTAAAATAGAGATGCTTCTCTCTTTTTTTATTGTGTTATTCGCTATGTAAAAGGAAAAAAAAAACCAAACCCCACAACTTTAGGAAATTTCTTTCCACTGCCTAAATCTAAAGATATTGCACATACAAGACAATTTCTGCCTTTAAACAATTTCTTTTTTTTTCAAAAAACAAAAAATCAAATTTCTGTTTGAGGAATGCTCCAAATTTAGCAAGCTGCATCCTTCTTGGGAAGAAATATAAAATTTTGATGTTTATGATAGTAATAGAAAATAAAATATTCTAAAAATACCAGTATTTGCAAGTAATAGTATTAATTATTACATTGGTACTGTACTTACCCGATAATCTGTTACAAGACCTGGAAATTAAAAAAAAAAAAAAGTTCAAATTGCGTCATCATCACAACAGCCAAAGTCTTCAATCATTCTGATGTAATTGAAAATGCTGTATCTTAGCTTTCCTTTACATCTGCTACAAACTTCAGCATCAGCAGCATCAACAGGACCACTAAATATCTAGTTGGCTGCTTGGAAGCATGTGAAATGAAGGTGCTTGTAATAACCTCATTCCTTAGCTAGTCAGCATATGCCACCAAAAATTAAACAGTTTACAGAACAAACACTTTTCTCCTTTCTGTTTTACTGCAGATACTATGGAGATGACAGACCAAATACTATGTTTATTTTCTTCTTGCAGGGAAAACAAGCAGTAGATAAAACAAGTATTATTAATTTTGGTTTAAAGAGTTTGCAGAATCCCCAGACTCACTTTGTAACTCATTCTCTGCTCTGAAATGCCACAACCTTTACCCTAATGAACAGGTAACACTCTTCAAAATAACCCACTTCTAAATACCTTTTATACTCATACATATATTTGTTGCTAATTGTTCAGGATGTCTAATAAGTGAATGGAAAAAATTACTCAGAATTTGACTTTTTCCTACTTGGAGARTAATATTCTGCATTTTTATAGCTTTTCTTTTGATGGATTGAAAGCCCCTTACAAACACAGACTGACTAAGCCACAAAGCAGTCCAGGGAGACAAGTAGAGAGCATTATTTGCTGTGTTTTATATAAGCACACAGCTTCAGGATTCATCTACCTTTTCTTYGAATCAAGGAATTAAACTGATTTCACAGTAAAGGAAACTTGAACATAGTTACTTGCTGTAAGTCAGTGACTGATATTAAACTGACATAACATTTAAAGCACTTCTGTAGGAATTGTCTGCTTAGCTTCCTTATTCTGCTTTATTACTCTGCAGTGGAGTGTAAGCTTCATAGGGGAATATGTACTTTTATTCCCTGGGAAAATGCTAAGTATTCCTGGAATTGTCAACYGGAAGGTTGAACTGCAGCTTCTGAATTTGATCAGTCTATGCCATGCACATAATTTTCAGCCTTCATGTTTTCTAGGAAAAAAAATGTTAGAAGACTTTTTCCTGTGTTACAAGCTCTCTTGCCAATGTTCTCTTATTTATGCAGCCAAAATATAAGAAAAAACATGGTCCTTCTTCCCCGGTAACAGAAGGCTATTTGGTTYTTTAACCTGTTACTATGTTGGTTTCCAAGTGGTAAAAAAAATCCAAACCCACAAAACAACCAACAATCATGAACCTGTTCTTGGACTTCAGGAAATGAATGTGGTTGTCTCTGCTTGGTAAGGAGGTAAATTGCTAACATTCATTTTCTTCTGCATTGTAGCAGCCATTTCTGTTTGATAGCTGCAAGACTGGTAGCAAAGAGAGTAAAGCAACTGGTGACAGATAAATAATCCTACGCTCCTGTAAGGGGCTATGTCTAATGATCCACAACAACGCCTTTCACAAGCTGTGAAGCAGAATGTAATCAATGATTAGTCCTTGATTCCTTGATTACAAGCCTTAGTCTTACATCTGTATTTAACCAGGAGGAATTGCATTGTGGGAGTGTATGTGGTGTTCATAATAGAGTATAAAGCTGCATTCTTCTAACACTGCYGTGAGGATTTGACCTATATCCTGGGTTGCCAGGCAAGCTAGGATAATCTTCCTGGTGTGATGATGCAAATCACATAAAAATATAATTAATGACAAAATAAAGACTCTCCCCTTGGGGACACACATAATTGCCATATGGTTATTAAGAGTAATTGCTCACAGATAGAGATATTTTTCCACTCATTTAAATTCTTGAGTGAGAGAGGAGTGAATTCAGAAATACCACTTCACTTACTTAGTAAACCAGGACAGGAATTCTCAGACCTGAGAATACTGAGAATATAAGACCCTCCATTAGACAAGTCCTATTTCCAGGACTGCTGACATCCCATAAACCACACAGGGACCAATGGGGACTCTAGCACCTTCATGTAGCAAATTTGACTATATTTATTTAAAGCAAAAGTGTGGGTTTGAAGTTTAACTAGAGGTATTTGCATTTCAAAAGTGTTGTCCMACTCCTTGGTAAATTGATATCAAGTGGGAATGGAGAAAAAAAAATAGCATTTCTAGGCTGTTCGTAATCAGCTGATCTCTTTGAAATCATTATGTTACGTCACATAACATGCTACCACCCTTCTTAAGAAAAGATGAAAGCTAAAAAACTGGGGTGGTAAAGTTTTCAAGTCAACTAGGTGGCTTTACTGAAAGCACCTATTTCTAAGAAAGATTTCTTTTTCTTCAAGTGCTATTTAACCCATGTAAGACCTAAAGGTCTTGTATCAGCACTATCAGTTCTCCCAAGAAGACATTTTCACTTCAGTTAGGTTGGATTTTTTTCTCTTGACAAKAAGTATTTTTAATGTACATTAAGTAAAAGCTAGTTCCTTAAGTGAATTTGCTGTAACTTGTATTTTTAATTAAATAAGGGAAAAAAAAGTATATATTTTTTCTCAGCAATTCGAACATTTAGAGAGTGAACCTCAGCTTCAGAATTACTGCATATTGCTATTTACTGCATTTTTCTACATTTGCATTGCTTGGAAATGGAGAACAGGAATAAAACACAAGGTTGATGCCAGTTCAGGATTAAGGCACATTAATCCATTTTTACCAGGGATTTTTAGTGAACAGTAGAATTCTGGATGGTATTAATTTAAATGTCAATGAGTTCATAGCCATAACAGAATACACTTCTGAACACAGATCAGCACCAGCAGTTCCAGGAAAATTATGGGCTCCAGTATATGGTAAGACCTTCTACAGATGATTTACCCTCTTCAGAAAGTTATGAGGGAACTTCCWTCACATGTTGACACTGCACTGATGTGACCTTCTTCACAATTATTCAGTTAATAACCAAATATGTAAAAATGGGCTTCAGGAGGGCAAATACACTCTGCAGTTGCTAGATATGTGCAAGGACCAGCACTAATCCATTAASGAGCTTTGCACAGAGCCTGAGATTTGTAAGTTCTTTGTGAGCATTTTGTGAAGAGCTTTCATGAGCATTTTGCACAAGACAGTCTCTGCTCTTACTGCCTTTCTCCACAGGCAGTGTACGAGCATGAGRGCTACAGCATAATGTCCCAGAAAGATATAAATCAAAAACAGAGCACACACAGCAAACACAGTTCACCCCTTCTCTGTAGTTCCAGGGAGTGTTTGCTCCTCATACGGATTTTTGCAAAATTTGAATCAGAGCTTGCATGAATAGCTAAGAAAAAAAGACCTTAGAAACTCTAAAAYCAAATCAAATCCTGAAACCGCTCTGGAGAAAGAAGTCTTGGGGAAGGCAGGTTAAGGAATTTGTTACACAACACCCAATAATACATTTATCTGACAGCAAAAAGATCATAAGAATTTTCTCAACACTCCTGCAATCAATCAGTGCTAAGTCTGAAACTGSGAAATCCCAATACAAAAGTAGTAATATAATGTTTTATAAAATTACTTTCCTTCTATTGCTTTTAACTAATTAAAATCTCACTAGACATGTATTCGCACTTTAATGAGCTTAGCTCCCATGGGTGCTCAGAAAATGGAAACAGCCTCCTAAACGACTGGGGTAGTTTAAGAATTGCCRTTTTCATTTTAAGTCATTTTTTCCATTAAATATCAGAGTGCAAACAAAATAATAATAATCTCATTTAATTATAAAATTACCAGACTCCTGATGGTGATGCTGCAGGTAAAGAGGTTCTAATTTAAAGGCACCTATCAAATCTGATCTTTTCTTCACCCTGTATAAAAAAGAAAGAAATCAAATTGAGAAATTCAAGAATAAAGGCTTAAGGGATGAAATTTCCACAAGAAGTGAAGTCAAATTGAATGTGTTTAAACTGGCATATTTCCTGAGCACAGTCTGTGCCATTTTCAGTGCTTTTTCACAGCCATATCAGTACTTACAAGTAGTTAAGTGTAAGGCTCAGCAGGAACGGGCAGCATGACTGCACGACTGCATATTTAAAAACAGACAAGAAACAGACATAGAGGATCTTTTTATGGTGACAGACACTCACACCAGAATGTGAGACTAGCTGAAGCAATGTTAATGTTTGCAGTCAACAGAAGTTGTCTTGAAATTACTGCAGTACAAAGCTGCGTGGGAAGAGCTGTTGCTTCCCAAACACCGCGCAGAGCCGCGCTGAGGCTTTGGGGGTGCTGGCCACTGTCTCTCCGTGCTGCTGTGGAAGCAGCAGCCACCACAAGGGACACCCGGTTCTGACTCAGGCTCCCCTCTTGTACCACCCTGCCCTTAGCTGGATCCAGCACACAGTTCCTGACAGACATTCATAGCACAATGTTACACTGGRAAGCGTTAACTCACTATTGCCAGATAGCAGTGGTGTGATTGGACTGAGGTGCAAGAGCCAGCGTGTCTCTTTTAGAGAGAATAACCTATGTTTTGCCAATGTTAATAACAAGATTTTTCTGGTTCATGCTTCAYGCCGTGTAAGACTGACTCACCTCCACAAATGTTGGGGTTTATAGAGGCAGAAGAATAAGCCATRAATCAAAAAGGGAAAAATTGCTACATCATTATATTAGGCCCATAAATATATTACAAATCAAGCAAAAATTGTATCAGCACAGGGATTCTTTAAATGACAAAAATCCAAACCTTCTTTCTGTGTTTTAATGGTTTCATGTAGAATTGTAAATTTCTAAGTAAAARTCTAATTTCCAATATTTTCGTATGCATGTATAAATGCACAGGCCAGTACATACTCCCACTCTCATTCACATCTAGACTGTGGTCATAAAACATCTTATTCAAACAAACAAAAAGCCTTCCTCTCACTAATGGTCAGGGAAGCACCAAGGTCAACAGCTAAATATTTGCCTTCAGGTATGGAAAGTACATGGCTGAAAATAAGTAAACTTATGCACATGAAAAATAGTAATAGATTTTCAGATTGCTGTCAATAAAAGCAATTACCTAATTATGTGCTAGAAAGGTCCTGTGGACAAAAAGAACRAAACATTAACTGAAAACAGGTTGAATTAAGACAAACATTTTTAACAAATCCTAAGTTGTTCTCCTGTAGTTTATTTGAAATATTTGATTCCATTGATATATTCATTTTTCAGTAGCTCATTCTGATACACTAATCCAAGTTACAAGCAGTGTACTTAGTTGTTTTGTGAGTACCTAATTTCTTCTCCTGTAAGATGCTGTATTAAACAATGGAACAGATAACTATTCTGCAGGAACATCTAGTTCAGAAGACACAGAAATGACATGGAAATTTSCATAGGCAGGGCATGTGGGAAGGTTGCTGCTGCATTCTGCAAGCAGGTCCACACCTCAGGCAAGTCCTAAGGGCTCAGGAGGTCCACACCAGAGTGCTGAGTGCTCCAGGTCTCTGCCATAATGGTGGGCACCCAACTCAGAGCCAAACCCAGTGTGTCTATTGAGACAGCCCCTGAGAARTCTGASRCTGCCAYTCAGATGGAACTGGTAAGGRAGGAGACGTCAGAACAGGTGGCAGCTTGCAATGGAGGTGCAGAAACTCCTTCTGGAGAAAAAGCTGGCTTTGTGCACAGGTGGGTGACCTGTTGTGGCTGGTGGCATTGCAAGACTCAGACCTAACAGGCTGTGTGGTAGCAGAGGGACTGAAACACAGACAGGTATGTGGCTCTAGAACCATATACATACAGGGGATAACACTGAGTTTGAGACACCTTGGACAAAAGCAGGGCTCCAACCTGCACCCTCCAGCATTCAGACCAAAATCAAGTAAGGTGCTTTAGAGGTTTAGATGCCTGTGAGCAGGGCAAACAAGGAGAATCTGCACCAGCAGCAAATCATGGTTACTGTAAAAAGAAATGCTGAGTGACTGTACTGGGTGACTGTTAAGGGGCTTTGAAGCACCCATCCACCACCCTGAAAAGTGTTTCTTGACTACCTCTCGAGATTAAAATCACAGGTCTAGAAGATCTCCAGAGGTCCCTTCCAACCCTAATAAATCTGTGATCACGTGAATATGTATTTCACAAATTATATTGGTAAATTAGACCTTTTTAAAGTCTGGATAGAGCCTTTTTTTAAAGGCTGGTCTATATGCTTATAGACCAAAACCGAGTTAAAGTAGCACAGATTCACATATTTAGCACTTATAATACAAAATGCACAGCAAAAGTCCTGGTGAATAAATTGGTGAAAATCTGTGAAAAGTGACTTACTTGAATTGCACATCTGCAGCTTTTAACTGCCCCACTCTATTTTGTGCATTTTTAATGGAAGATAAAAAGGTGGCCTCATATTATGAACCAACAGGAAAATTTCACTTTAGTTTGTGTTCAAGTAGATTGTTCAGTTTTGTTCAATTGAAGTTAAGTTAGAAAGTGAAATACAATTTAATTTCAAGCAGTTTTCAAGGCCAGGCTGGATGGGAATTTGAGCAACCTGGGCTGGTGGAAGGTGTCCTTGCCCATGGCAATGGGGTTGGAAGTAGATGATCTTGAAGTTCCCTTTCAACCCAAACTATTCTGTGTTCTATGATCTACAGTTAAGTATTTCCTGTAAGCACCTTCCTTCCAGATACTGAAACACCCTTCCCAAACAAAAATTAACACTTTAACCCTGAAAAGGGTAATAAAAGTCAAAAATACCACGACTTTGCAAGATTATTATTTTCACTCTCTCTGAATCAAGACACTTCTTCCTATCTTATAACATTCCAGAGTACCAATTAAACAAGTTCAGCAAAACTGACCGTAGTTTCAAGGGAAAGTCTCTAAAGGACTCTAACATTTGAATATAGAAAATATATCCTTTTTGGACCGGCTGTATTAAATTCTTTTTTTATAGGAAATTGACTGTTCTTTTCCATACATCAGGAAATCTGAGAATATTTTACAAAAGGTTTATAATGAAATCGCGTCTAAATCTGAAACAACATCAGTGCCACATATTGCACTGTGTAGTTAGATAATTACATTACAGATCTAATGGGTARATTATAATAATCAGCTTACAGCAAAAAGAAATGCAAGTATTTATTGGGGAAAGTGCTGAGAAGCCTGGGTTACTATGAAGTTTGCTCATCAAAGAAACTGAGATTATTTTGGTTCTGAAATGGTGTTCAGTGTTTACTGAAYTCTTTCCATATTRCCACAGTATCATGCTCAATACTTTYCATGGATCCTATGAAGAATATGTATCYTTCACAGTTACTTTTTCTTGCCATCCTTCATCCTTTATTATTACATTTCACCTGTTCAGGCAGTGTTACAGTTGGTAAGAGAGGTAAATTTTGGATATGGGGTTTTCAGAGAAGSCAGAATTAATGAGAAACTAAACTATTAAGGTTTAGACTGTGGTTCCTAATTGTTCTGCAAACATTAAAGAGAATGACAGCGTATTTGCAAGTGGCTATTATTTTAGCAATATCTTTGATGAGAAAAGATGGCAGGAAGTAGCAAAGGAGTTTGTTTCATCATCTTCCTACTTCCTTATGCACAGARACACAGCATGCTCAGAGGTACTTTTAACTGGAGTGCTGCCCGCTACTGATGAATTAGGGTCACAATGCAAGCCATCCACATTGAARAAAARAAAAAAAAAAAAACCAGAATGGCTTGGAAGATTTGAAATGCCTACTTCAGCTGACATATAAAAGTAAAAACCATAATATACTATCTGAAAAGTCAACTTTACTGGCGAAATTAAAAAAGATTAAGGTTAAACAAAAGCAATGGAGTGATCACCATCTTACATTTATTCTTCTTTTAAATAAGGTGACCTGTTTCTTGGATGATGTTTTGGAGTCTTCTTTTTACCATTTTTGCAAATTTTGCTCGATTATAACTGAAATTTATTTTATTTATTTTAATTTTATTTTCATTTCATTTATTTAATTTCATTTATTTTGAAAAAATAGTCTGCATTTGCTGAATAGCTATTTCGCTAATAAGTATCATTAGCTGTGATGCTGGTAAGCATCTAGTTTGGGACAAAATAGGATCATCTTTTATGGAGTGTTTTTAACCAAGCCATGCTATTATTACTGCCAACATACTTTGTTTTAAAGTATTTCTTTGGGTTTCTATTTTGGCATCTTTTTAAATCAAAATGTTGTCTTTGCTGTCATCTGGGAAAAATTGAAAGTCAGTACAAAATTACATAAATAGTYCTTTTTGAATCAGCTGCCTTTCATCAGCCAAATCTTAAACATTTTTAGAAAGGCTTTTAAAATAATCAGAGCTCAAACCAAAAGAAATTTTATGGAAAAGAAAAGGAAGAAAGAAAAAAAACCCTGTTTAGCATGCTGTTCATTGAACTGATATCTTTAAAATAAGTTTTTTTTTACTTATGTTTTAAACAGTCCCAAAATGGAGCAAGTATAAATCTTCAGACTTCTTGGTATTTCTCTCTTTCTGGAACATAATGCAGAGYTCAGGCCTATTTCTAAATTTCACATTTTTGAAATTTGGATTAAATGAAAGTTTGAATTCTGTAAATAATTTATAAGAGTTAAAGCAATCCAGTTCTCCTCATTTCAATAGAGAAATGTAAATAAATGCCTACTTCTAGAAAGGAAGACTAYTATAACCCCATTTTTATCTCTTGTAATGTTTCCTTTTTACTTACCACATAGCAGAGCAGTCAAAATTCACTAGGAGCCATTTGTGRGGATTAAAGTTAAATGAATCTGCAAACTGAAAATGGAAAAATAAAAACAGAATTATGAAAGAGAAAAGCATCCATGTGCTACTGATATAACTTTGTCAAATTTTCTGTGTAACTATGAGTCAATTCCAAAATTGGATCTTTATAATGTTCATATTGATGTCACTTTATTTAGTAACTGTTGTAGTTAAATCTTCATTCATTTTGGGAGTGGGATTCATGTGAGGTATGCATGTAGGCTARTGGTATTATCAACATTTTGAGCATTTGTTTATGATTATGCTTCCTAGATATGTATGTTACAGAAAAGTATATATCTAATTGTGAACTAAAATAAATACATAAATCTGCATACTCAGAAACAATCACTGGGGTTCACATCACATTTTCCAATAACAATTGGAAGCTTTCTACTTCCAAGAATATTAAACACATACACACAAAATTTATGTAYAGCAATAAATTATAAATTTAATTTGGAATTTGCACATCTTATTCCTTCATAAAATTACAACTGACTAGGGAACGACTGGTTTTTACCATTTATTTTCTTACTGACAGGGTATTTTATTTCAATAGAAATTATTTTGTTATCTAAATAAAAAACCAAAAAAACCAACCACCAAAGAGTAAGCACTCGCAATACATGATCATATACATCATCTCCCAGGCCTGGTTTATTTGACATATGTTTAGGTGGGGCATCAGAAGAAACCCAGGTAGGTAGGATGGACATCATGTGGGAATGGATTATCCATGTTTTCTGTTTTAATAAAGGCAGAATTCACTAGCCTTAAAAAACCTGGGGGACGGGGACYTGGCAGCACCAAGGTCTGACTGTTCCATACAGCACTTTTCTGTTCTCATTTGCTTCTCAAAACCTTGCCTCATAACCTCACCCGTAAACAATTAACAATTGCTCTAATAAGAGAAGATTAACTGTCTGTCTCTCTATCTATCAATCTATACATCTATCTAGCTATCACCCTGCACTATGTAAAGCTGGGAACCTGTTCATGGTTGTTAAATATTTACTCTTATGACAAATGCTGGCCCAGACAAGGGATGCTGTTTCATTTCCTTCAGGAACCAATAACAATAATTTAAAAAATATTCCCCCACAGGAAATTACAACAAGCTTCATCTGCTGATAAAAAAGAGACAGAAAGAAATGCTTTATTTGTGAGGGGGTTTTCCCTCCTCTTCTTCATTAGTCACTGCCTATCAGTGCTCTGTTTAAACTTCTGGCTTTACCAAACAGTAATATTTTCTCCACTGACGTTGAAGACAAGGACTTATCTGACTGTCTGAGGGGAGCAGCAGGAAATTGAAGTATTCTTATCTAAGCAACTGAATGCCAAGTAGCTCAGCAAGGCGGGGGAAAAGGAACAGCAGTGCTGTTGGGGGAATATTTCATTTAGGTCTCTTGGTTATTAAACCCTGTCTGTTTGAGATACAGCTACTGGCTCTATCCTATATGACTTTCAGGACATAAGAAAAAAAACCCAGACATAACAAGGTCATTAATTTGTTGAAATTTTCTTTTTTCCCCCTTTCTGTGGTGTAACGTAGAATTAGGATGTCACAAATACGTCTTTCGCGATATTTGGGAAAAAGTCCCTCTTTTCTATTTGTTGATTCAGTGCTACTTGTTATTCTGAATGATAAACTTCTTATAGAGGAGTACTTGCATAACCCCAGTATAAACCAGTAAGATTTTTTTTTTAAAACCATAATAGAATGTAGAGGGCTTTGTAGTGCAAACAGAGGTGCTGCTCACTCAGAGATTCTGGAAGAACCATTAATCTTGGGTGCATAAGAAACACAAATTCTATGAAAAAGCAAGGTTTCAGCAGGCTGCTAGAGAAAGAACACTCATTCACCTCCACTCCATTTAAAAGATGCCTGAATTCAGGGCAGATGAATGCACTCCCCGCATAGGCTGCATCAATATGCATCCAGATATTTTCCTTATTACCTAAAAAAAAAAGGGGGGGAGGAAATAAATTAAACAGCAGATTAAAAAGCCCTATTAATTTGCATGAAACCAAGTGCCTGAGAGATTTTTCTTTGATGTTATTATTTTCTCAATTTCAAATTAAATTAAGAGATTAAATGTTTCCAACATCTGGGTTTTCATTAATGCATAAAAAATGTATATATAATGTATTATTTTTCCTTCCCACTTCTATTGCAACAAAGTTATAGAACCATATAATCATAAAATATCCTGTGTTGGAAAGGACCCACAAAGATCATAATCTCTAGGTTTCTCTTACTAATATAAAGCAAAATAAATTATTTTGTGGTTTTGATTTTAGAATCATGCTAAAATACACTGAAAAATGTATCTAGGGATTCAGCTATCATTTCTATGGTAATAAAACTATTTTACCAGGAGCAACTAGAATATTAGCTGTGCTCCTCAAATCCAACTCATGAATCACAAACATGTTTCTAAACAGTATTTTTTACATATTGATAAATGTGCAWGCACATGCTTTTGAACTATGTGCAGCAAACTATTTATTTCAAGGATGGAGACACTTAATGCAACAGTAAGCACTGAATTGCTAAGAAAGTGCTTCTTATGATTAGTCACTGAATGTTTTCTGCAGAAATCTTTTGGCATATGAGCAGCTCTCATATACTCTGTCATTCAGTATTCACATTGTACTAGAGATCACTGTTTTAATGCACTCTGTAACAATTCTGTTCTATGCTGGTTGATGGCTGAAGCCCACATAACATCTTCACACTGGTTACCAAGTAATTCTGATTGTTATTTCCACAAAGAGAGGTATATCCACTGAGATCTGCAGTTGGGCACAAGTTCATGCTGAAATTTGCATTCTCGAGAACTAAATTTCCTTTTTGCATGAATGTCTGGGAAAAACTAATAAARTATTATTCACAATATCCACAACTTAGGTTTATTTGAAAACATGTTGAAAGTTTAACTGATTATCTATTTTTCTCTTTTTAAATACACTTGGTTTGAGACACTGCCTTTATATCACAGGACTATTGCTCATGCATACCAAGGAGAAAATTAAGTGGAAAAGCTAGCATGAGACTTYTGACTTCACTAGTATGCCACCCTTCTGATGGGCTCTGCTGCACAAGCAGGGAATCACTGAGGTGAAACACATGATTGCTATGTCTAAGAGTATTGGTGTCACTGTTTTATTAGGTCAGGTCTAAGAACAACCCAAACATCAAAATAATCTGCAGCTGCTAAACAGACTACTGTTTAAAAGATTGAGAGAAACTGACTCTCTGGGGYTTGTGCTGAAAGACAGGAAACCTCACAGAGCAACTTACCACCACACAAACCTAAAGTTCTAAGCCCCACCTGAATAAATTAGCAGGACATCAAACCAAGCTGTGCTTCTATGAGGCTTCTTCCAGCTGTTTCCAGCTATGGATTTCCTGTTCTAAATGTATGCTTGAAGAGATACGGTGCACTTTGGTAGCATTTGCATCAGCCAGCGAACATGCACTTTTGACCAAGCCCTGCTGCAGATCAAAGCTTGACACAACAAACCATAACACAAATACTTATGAAGAGTCCATGACTCGATCACTGTATTAAACAACCTGGCATTTGTCCTGTTTTCTTGAAAGAGAAAGGAAACTGGGGAGGGGAGAGTAAAGATAAAGAATACATGTGGATTTTTTGGTGCATATTTCCCTACTTTTTGTAGTTGTTAGAACCAGGCAGAAACAAAACACTTGGTGCAGAGCAAAATTAGGAGTTCAACTTTCTGCTGATACTCAGCATTGTTCCTGATGCACTTGCATGTAGAAGGACTTGAAGAAAAATGTTACAAACTGAGGCACTTACAGTAATTCTTAACTAACAGTGTTCCAAAATACACTCCCCCAGAAAAGAAACCCTTGAGGCAATGTCCTCTCTTTTAACAGTTTAAGAGTGCACATTTGCTGCTGAACATAATATCAGAAATAAAACTATAACTGAAGGTCTCATCTATAAGTAGCTTTATTGAATTTGGACACTGACACTGCATAATGCCCTGGAAATGACTCAGCATGGCTTAAACTGGTATCTGCAATTTTAGAAAGAAGCAGCAAAGACTTACAAATTGGACCCAGTTCTAAYAGTTTGTCAAAGGAGCAGCAAGGGGTGGTTCCAAGTGTTGCACAGAACTGCCRAGCCAAAAAAAARRAAAAAAAAGTGTTACAGCATGGGAAATTACCAAATGAGAAAAACTGTCTGCACAGGCAACAATAGATGGTAAAAAGAATAGATGATATAGGTAAAAAAAAAATTGATGTTAGTCATATTACTCATTACCTATCCTTAATGGAACTTCTCAGACTGTGGATAGGGTTTTTCCAAAGCTTCCAATACAAGTCCATTGAAGCAGATGCATAAAATCAAATGGTAACATAAAATTGACTGATAAGTACTGAAATATAGTCACTCTATTGTGCTAATGCTATATTTTATATATTTTCTGCATGTTCCACTTGATTATTGTGTGGCCCAATACTACCCTAACATGTGCAAATGCCATCAAAATAATTTGCAGTTCAGGGTATATAAGCAAATTCCGAACTTGAGCAACTCAGAGGTGCTGGAATTATTGTCGACAGAATAGATTGACAAATGTTGCTGTCTCGATCAGAGACAAAGCTCTGCAACTGAGATTTGTGACTGATTTATGCTCAAGGGATCTGCAGCCTGAAACCTGTTCACTAGTAGCATATGTTCACTATTTGGCTTGCAAGACTTTTTCCCAGAGAAACTTCTTCTCCTGAATTCATCCTAAAATACTGCAACAGTTCTTCCTTCATTYTGTTAATGTCTCATTTAATGTATTCTTCTGTGTGACCAGTGGGACAAAAGCAGAGGCAACATCAATGCTGAAGTTTCACAGTAGAAACAGGATTTAACTAGATGAAAATGAGCCATTGTAATTTACTGGGAATATGCAGGTAGAATTTTAACCAAAAAAAAATCCAACTGCCAAGTGCATATAAACTGCCATTATTTTATCTTTCATTKCTACACTTATGTTTTAAACACCGTCTTATTTCTGAAAGCACTAATAAAGGCAGGATCTGGATTTTCTCTGGTACTGTGGAGTTCTACATAATCAAAGACACTTTACAGTTTAAACACACAAATAAAGTATGCTGTATTTCAGTCAGAGTATTGAAGTATAAAAGAATTAGATAATTTATCCAAGGTCACACATGAACTGTAGTAGAGGCAGGAGATGATTATAAAAATGATAAACCCAGAATTCTTGGTTTTTTATTTTAGTATTTCTGGTTACCTTTTCTGCCAAGTACACTGTCAACACACCATATTTTGCTCCTACAGTTTTTTCCTATATATCYGTAACTAGCTACATTTTTCCGTGTGTATGTGTGCCCATATCCCTTAGCAAATTCATTATGAGACTAATAAGAAAAGGAAGGAAAACTTAAATAATACTTGTCTTAAATGAYACAGACTTTTCAAGAAACAAACACTGTCACAGCAAAACTTGAAAAAAGTCATTATTAAAATAATAAAGGGACAATTCAGTATGTTTTCTGTATTAAGCTACTAAGAACCTGAGTTTTAAACAACTATAGTTTGAAAATGAGAAGCACATTTTATGTATGTAGTTAGTAAAATTGCGACCTAACATATTTTTCTCTCAAGACACCTATATTGGGACCTCCTGTATTCCTGAGACATATGAGGARAACAGAAAAATTGAAGTGACTTSAGGTACATTTATGACTTCYCTGGAAGAYTWATCACCCTCTGAGRGAGGCTKCTTTGCAAAGATTGCAGGATATTTTGTTAAATAGGAATAAATTTGATCCCTATTTTTTCCTAAGAAAGCACATGTATGGAGCGTAAATGTATATGGAGTGAAAATATATTTATCACATTGTTGTCTACCTAGAGTGTTCCCAGGAGAAACCTGTATTTCATCTTTGGCTGAACTATAGATTTACACATTGGATCACAAGAAACTGAGGATACCATGATGAATGCCAGATTTTCTATATGCATTGAGAAAAGGGGTTAACCCCTTGGATTGGGAAATAAATAAAAAGAGTACACTATGGACTTAACTCTGTTTTCACACATATATCTTATGGTAATATGGTATGAATTTTCTGACAAGATTAGAGTGAAATTGCCTTGGTTAGTCCAGTAATTAAAATAATGATGGGAATTTCACAACAGAAAGTTACACATTATTGTTATTAGYGTTGTACTGCAGTTAAGGTATTCTCCTAATCAGGATAARGAGTAGGTTTTTTCAGTGAGAGAYTATATGAGTTGAAACATATGCTTAGTTGTTTAATAATGGCTTATTCTGTAAATTGTACCTCAATTTCTAAAATAATTTTGTTTTCCTCTCTGCAAGTGTCTAAGCCTCAAAGCTACTTGCTTTAATTCTCAGAAACCACTAACAGTGGCAGCGGCTGCTGTTGTCAGGACTCTCATTATCCCGCCTCAATACTGCAGAATGAATCTAACTCAATTTGTAGCCTGTGTAAAGCCAGAAAAATCACATTTGTGCAAAGGGCAGGGGACAGGCTGCATCATAGAAATGGGACTGATGGCTCAGTATAGCCTGCAGGCCTTTTGCTTTTCAGGTTGTACACTTCAAATTTGACTCAGCCCTTGGTTGTGAATACAAAGCAGCTAAAATTCTTGCCTCAGTCATCTCATATATTACTTTCTTGAAATGGAGAGCTATGTCAGGAAACATGCATGAAACTTTATGATTATTGAGAGCAATTACTCTCAATCTTTTCAACCGGAAGACTTCCTACAACYTTGGAAAAGATTTGGACACATTTTGCATGGTTCCACCACAAAGCTTTTCATTTGCAAACAACTAAAATGAGGCAGAACTTTCAATGTTTGCTTATTGTTTTTATTTTCTCCTATTCAGTTCTTGCCAGCTTGCACTCATGACAATGACTGTGGCCTGAAGAAAACTGCAGCAGTTCTCCAAACCATCATTCARTATTTTACAGAACAGCAATCATTCACAAACTGTGGGTTGGGAAACATCACCCTAGACATCTGCACATGTCTTCCATGCTTCTTCCAAATGCAAATCTGTGGTCAGAATCTAAGTGTTATTAGCTTTTACTAATAAGTGTTATTTCTACTGAAAAGATGGCTCCCCTGTCAGTCTCATTCTGATTTATTGTTTCCCGAGTGAGTCTGGATACGAACAGCCTACTTCTTAATATCCTGTGGATCATCATTCAGAAGAGYCATTTCATGTGGAATCAGAAAGATTTCATGCTGGGCAGCAGACAATTGCRTTGTAGCAGCTTTACACTGGTTGAGGTTGTTGAAGTACATTGTACCTTGTATTTGCCAGCTGCAATCTGTCAGTGCTGATTTATCAAAGACAGCACAAAKTTTACAGACCACTTACACACATTTAGGGTAACTAGGCCTGCATGCAGTGGGCGCTCTAGCTGAATTTAGAAGTGCTTAACTTAGTGGTCTTCACTTTGGAGCATYTCAGCCAACACAGAGGCCTGTCTCAAGCTGGGAGCAAAAGGCCCAGCCAAGAGAGGCATTTACACGTGTGCTTAAGCACCAGTGTGTGTTTGTAATTAATGAAACGGACATGACTTCAGCAGGTGCTTTAAAGCTCCCCCTCAGCTCTGGGCCAGATGAAGGGCTGCACATCATCCATGCTGGGAAATGGCTCCTTAGTAAATTGTGGCAACTTCAGTGCCTCAACGCCTGACATGGCTAAGTGCTTTGTTTGCACAGTTTGCTTGCTTTACCACATGAAAATACSTGTTTCAGTTTCTGCAAAAGTATTTTAAAATAGAGAAATTAACACAAGTCTGAACTTAGAAATAAAAAAAAGAAAAAGAAACGAAAGTAGAGATCTGGATACCCTAGTAGCAACAGCTTTCACTGAACAAGACAATACACACATTACTAGTGCTACAAGACATTGATGATGGGTAAGAAAGCAAAGATTAATTTTAAAGGCAATGCCTGTCCCCTAAAAAGGCTGACTGCCAAATCCTATGTACCTGAAAAGCAAACCTGTAATTAACAGATTGCCACAATGACAGAACCTGTTTCACATCGAGCAAACCTGACCCTTATTCTTTCTCCACTCACCTCTACAGGGAAAGCACTGCTATCAAGCTCAATATAATGATTCTTCATTTATTCATTAAGCACAAGAGGAGAAACATGCCTATAAGGCATTGCAATTTACTYGTATTTTCTTTYTAGTCCCTTACAAAACTTCTTCTTGCTGCTAAGGGGGACTTCAATAGCTTGGATGCAAACAAGACATCTTCATTAGGAATGATGTCTCTGCTGTCACAAGTATCTTCAGGCAGAATTTCTTCCATCAAACCTGTTGCTTTGATGTTGAMTCACTCTCCTTAGTGAAGGATCAGTGAGTACAGGGAGACAAGGAATCAAGTGGTATAAGGTGTTTCCTTGGCAATGTGCATATCTTTGCCAGAACAAAATACAACAGCACCAAWTTACTCAAGAACAAAAGAAATGGAAAGGCTTTTGAAATCTGCAAGCCAGAAAAGAGCACTAATACAGTGCATGCTGCTCAGCATGACAGAGAATTAACACACCTTGTGAGTTAAGAGGCCAACCATACCGATAATGAGATCTAGTTTAACCTAACCTGACATGTTCTATGTATACAAATAAGTGTAAGACTCAATAACATTAACTCAGGMAGAGCCTCTGCTGTCTTTGAAAGCCTGTTTTGCACAGCCTAACAGAAGAAGAAAAACAGCAGTTAAATCACCCTTTTTTAAAGGTGTCACTGAATACATAAATTAGAATTTTTTATTTCCTCTTGCTATGCATAGAAAAATTAATAAGGCATGAATATTTATGAGGGGCAAGTTGGATTTTTTTGCTAATGGACAAAAGCAGAGGAAAAAATACACTAACTTTATAGTTACTGCATGAAGATGTGATATCATGCTCTACTTGTAAACATTTAAAATTAACAGTGAGATATACGAATGGGATCCTGTGTAASGTATTATGAGCTGGGATCATAACACAGAGAAATAAAACAAGCCTTGTGGCATGCTCTTCATCTCAATAGGTGCATCCCACAGAAAAAAAAAAGTTCTTTTTGGAATCACTAGAGACACTTTATTTCTCTGTCAGGGTCTTGTTATTTTGTAAAGCAATTGACAGGATGTGCTTGGTCATTGTAAGGACTCGTTATTTCTAAGAGGCTTAGAAATCAGCAGCGTTCTGCACATATGAAAACCACTTCTCACTCTAGTCATACTCATACTACATTAAAACATTCTCTAAAGGTTAATAACAAGAAGAGTAAAAAGATTATATGTTCAAAAGAGCTTGGTGAAATTTAAGCTTCTTTGTCTCATTTGGCACTTATCCATGACTATAGGCAAGCTTAATCTGCTAATTCTTCTGAAAAAAGTTCATAGAAATTTAAGCCACATTATCCCTTTTCAAAATATTGCAACAYGTAAGAAAAGAAACAACCATTGTCCAATGTGATTTTTCTGAAAAAAAAGGTGACTTTTTTTGAATTTCTTAAAAAATCCCATATCTGAAGTTCTCAGTTTCTAAATCAGCTGTGTGCGGGGTTTTTTCTTCAGTTTTACTTCAGTGGAAGCCAGTAAAAACATATTCTTTATAGTATATTTTACTCCACAAAAGACCTAAACACCCTGTGGTTTGCAACCAGTTTTGTAGAGGCATAATGCTTGGAAATAAGCAAATAATTTTTTGTTGATGTAAAAAAACACAACAGAAGTTACTTCTTGGGAAAAAAACAAATGGCAAAAATCTTGTTTTAACTCGAAGTAATAAAATAGTGTTCTGAACTGGCAGGAGGAGTAGATCTGATGAATAAGCAAATGGTTTTTTTTGATCATGTACTTATCATGATAGAACCAAACTTTAGAATTTTGTYGAATCTAACACTGCTCTATGTCAAAAACTGGGGGATTTTGAGTTTAAACTATTGAGACATAACTATATTTGCCTTTGCTGTCCTGCTGYGGAAGCAAGAAACTCTGGAAAAGAAAATGGACAAGTAACAAGAAATGGTGACACCTAAAGTTTCAATAGCTGCATTCCCTATAGCTCACTTGTTAGAGATTAGTTACATACTCACGAGTACCTGACAATGTCTGATCTCCATGATATTTGGGGTATATTAGGAGGTTCACTGCTTTACTAAAATAATACCAACTATTGGTATTACTATTGTTTCTTGAAAATACTTAAGCTTGAAATAGCATCATTTAATTTACCGCCTTTAAACTTGTTTTATGTGTAAGTTGTAACCTGAAAAATAAAGGTAAAAAGTTCAGAATTCAGAGTCTTAGGAGATTATAACACTGCAGGACTAGGAGCAACTACAAAATTGACCCCAAATATCATTTTGCTGAGAAGTGCAATCAGCTGCTCCAATTAGTGTCTCCTCCTTCACAGAAAGGCATTTGAAGAACACTCATGGAACCTCTCCTAGTATTCTAGCTCAGCTGCCCATCAGTGCTTCTGTTAGGGATGACATCATCTATTCATTGCAAAAGCTTCTTACCAGAAGCATTCAATCCACTGATTAGTTAAAACCCAGTACTCACGAAGAATGGTATAAGACCAGCAGCTTTGTCTTCATCCAGAACTTTCTTCAGGGCTGAACCACAAACACTAAATGTGTCATCTGAAGGAACACTTTTAATCTTCACAGCACCAATTAGTGCAGCCCTTTCCACAGATGAATGAGCCTACAAAGAAATGGGCAAGTTTTGAAACCAACACCTTTTACAGGAATTTATGAAATTAAGTTGAATTTACAAAAAAAAAAAAAAAAATTAAGACCTTTCAAGTAAAGCCATACTTGAGATCCTGGGAATGTTGATGGTATGCAACAGATACATTCTTCTCCACCTTTCATATAGGTAGATGGAMACATATATACATAAATACACACACAGTAAACTAATAGCAATCCTTTGAAACCATTGCCATAACACCATCCAAACAAGTTCCATTAACTGTAGTGAGAGCTTTAATTTACGTAAATTGAACAGGATTTAGCTTCAGGATTTGGCTCTAAATTAATCAAAAGATGCACTGACAATCAGCTTGTCTGATAATGATTCAGGTGCTCGCTAGCATATTTTTACGGTGTACATCTTTGCTGAACTCTAAAATGATATGTGTCACAGAATGGGACAGGCTATTTTCTTACATGACCATTTTTTTCAGATTACATACTGACTAAATTGTGCCTCGATCATTCATTCACTTTTTTAAGCAAGTAAGGATCATTCCCAATATGTTAATTTATTTTCAGCCCACTTCATTTGAACTCCCCTGAAATAGTACGTTTTAAGAAAATAAAGCACATCTCATTAAATAAAAACAATTCTATCACTAAGAAATTCATATAAATTTGTGAAATACAGAATAATAACTCCATTGACAATGAAAGATAGATTTATCCACAAAATACTCTTATTTAAAGCATGATTAAAACAGAAAAGCTATTTTACCTTCTACCTTCTACAGTTTCATTAATCATCATTAATTTCAAAGAGGAAAATTCCTCACTCTTTCATATCACAACTGTTCTCATTCACAAGCTCCTAATTGATTGTTGCAAGTGCCTATAAGACTGCTTATTAAWTCTATTCTAATTTAGCATATAATCACAAAAATGACAATGCAGAATTTTGTTGAACTAGACTAGATGAAATTTTTGCCTTTCTAGTTTACACACCCCTGCAATGATGTTTTAAAGACAGATGTACCATTAATTTGTATCTCAGCAGTGCCTCTTGTTAAAGTGCTTTGGTAACTAATTAGGTACCAACTTGAGAAAATCAGGAAGCCTAAACTTGAAATATAACTTTTTAAGTGGAAAACAAGGTGTGTGGCATAGCAACACCAAACTTCATTCAGGTGTACAATGGAAAAACGAATTTTAGAACAGTTTTATTAATTTATACTAGAATTGCAAATAWGCACACTATAATAATACACTGAGGTTGTTAGCCAGTCAGAACCCCTAAGTTGCTTCATCAAGACTCAAAAATGATAGCAAGATTTTCTTCCAAATGCATTCTTGCATAGTTGGGCTCTATCAGTGCTTGGTTTTCCCTCCCACAGAATGGCTCATGTTTAACTTTCTTTTGTGGATTATTGCCCATGAGTCATACAGGTCTGTTCTTAACGCAGAAGGAACAGTGAGCTCGGCAATGATCTGCTTGGAAAGGCCAGCAGTATCTTAAGGCAAATCCTTCTGTAAACATAAGAYCCGCTGACCTTCAATAGGCAGGAAGACCTGTCAGTCCTCATTTCAGGTCAGTCTCTTATACAGGACAAAAAAATCAAAGCAAGTGAAAGGTTTTGTGCATCACTGGGTCGGTCAGAGCTCTGGGACTGGTGGTCTGCGCAATACGCACCTTAGGGTCCCAGGCAAAAAAAAAAAAAAAAAAAAAAAAAAAAAAAAAAGGACAAATACCCTTTGTGCCTCTTGAAAGCAGTTATCTATTTTCATATTTTCTTGTCCTGAATCTTCTCAACATGCAAGTGCTGTCCCTCTTGCCACCAGCACAGAGCAAGGGTAGTGCTAACATCTTCTACAGTGCTTTCTAGCATACACTTATTAGTAAACCAAAGTAAGGCTGAAACCTGGCCATTTTACTCTGCATATCAGATATTACTCTAAAATAAATATTAAATACTAAGGTTTTTTTTTTTTTTTCTATCTCATTGACATGTAGGTAAGAAAATGTCACAGATATTAAGAGAAACAACATTGCATGGCCCTACATTAGGATTACTGCATCAAGAGAGGCAGCAGCAGCGGAACTCATAAGAGCAGAATTTGTTTCTGTTAACAGTAAAAGCCTCTCATGGTCATGGCCTGCTGAGAATTTAGTATAACTTAGTCTTCTAAATACCACTCACAGCCAGAAATCAAGAATTACTGTTTTCTGTTTCCTTATAAGATTTATTAGTTGGATTGACAGATGGATATCTTAAAGGTTTAAAAAAAAACAAAACTGTAAGTTTTGGCTTCTTGGCTTCTTCAATTACTGTGACCAATTTTTTGCGTATTCATGCATTAGGTTTTTCTGTGTACATGCACCTGTACCCATGCATGCATACAGAGGGAGTATGTACATGTGTTTGTTTGCACACATGCTTGTGAAGGAGGAAAATACTCTGTGCACAGATGGACACAGAAGATTAGATGCAACAAAGGATGGTCTAGACTTTATTAAACATAACTGAAATTAACACCTTATTTAATTACCTTTATTTACTTTAAACAATCTCTTTCCAAAGATATTTAACACTGACATTTGGATATTTATCGTTTGTATTATGGTAGCACACATGAAATTCCAGTTCACTTATCAGAGAATCATAGAATGGCCTGTGTTGGAAGGGACATTACAGACTACCCAGTGCAAATCCCACTGTCATGGGCAKGGACACCTTCCACTAGACCAGRTTASTCAGAGYCCCATCCATCCTGGCCTTGAACACCTCCAGGGATGGGACATCTACAACTTTTGTGGGCAACCTGTTCCAGTACCTCACCACCTTCAGAGTAAAGAATTTCTYTAACATAATCAACCCACTTGCAGTTTAAAATCATTCCCCTCTGTCCTGTCACTACATGCTCTTGTAAAAAGTCCCTCCATGCCTTTTTTGTGGACTGCTTTAGGTCACAATTATGTTACCCCAAGGCCTTCTCTTCTCCAGGCTGAACAATCCCAATTTTTTCAGCCTTTCCTCACAGGAGAGGTGCTCCATTCCTCTGATCATCTTGATGWCTTTCATCTGGACTCACTCCAGCAGCTCCCTGTGCTGTGTCCCCAGAGCTGGATTCAGCACTGCAGGTGGGGTCTCACCAGAGCAAAGCAGAGGGGCAGAATCTCCTCCCTCTCCCTCCTGGCCAMTTTGGATGCAGCCCAGGACATGTTTGGCTTTCTAGGCTGCAAACATTCTTTGCCAGCTCATTTCCAGCCTCTCCAGCACCCCCAAGTCCTTCTCAGCAGGGCTGCTMTCCATTGTTCATCCCCCCAGCCTATGTTGATACCAGGGGTTGCCCTGATCCAGATGCACTTTGCACTTGGTCTTATTAAACCTCATGAGATTCCCATKGGCCMAATTTTCAAGTTTTTCCAGGTCCCTCTGGATGGCATCCTATCCTCAGGTGTGTCAACTGCACTCCTCAGCTCACTGTCATCTCCAAATTTGGTGAGGGTGCACTCAATCCCTTCGTCTATGTCATTAATGAAGACATTGAACAACACTGATCCCAATACAGACCCCTGTGGAACACACGATGTACAGCAAGATTTAAACAACCAAAATCAAGCAGTCACGAATCCAAAGAGTTTACACTRAATCACCCCCCTATTCAGATGGCTGAAATTGTTAAGTATAGACACTGTGTTTCTGTGTTAATGAGAGGTACTCACCTGATCAGAAGCATAAGCCACCAGCCTGCCCATGATCTCTGCTTCTGTTAGCTCAGGATTTTCTGACTGCACCCGTCTGATAGTCTTTGTTCTTGCAGCAAGCAGTGCAATCAGGGTGGCCTCGCTTGCACTTCCCTGTGGGACAAATTGAGGGAAGCTTCAAAATGAAAACATTGCAGAAGAAGAAAAGCGACATTCATTCTGCATGAATCTGCGAAGTTGTTAACAGAAACTGCAGATGAGAAACGACAATCTCATGTTTTTTAAAAATATGTCTGACAGCAAGGGAGGAATCTCTGTTTGATCTGGGTCTCCTCCTTCCCAATGCCTCAGCCTGTTCTCTTTAATTTCTGTGCTTGTTCAGCTTAGGCAACAGCCTTGCAATCAGTGCTAGAAAGCTGGACTCACAGCTTTCTCATAGCAGGAGTCACAGATTTAAATGTATGTGAAAAGGCTCTCAAGCCAGGCACCAATCTGCTGTTAACCCATAACAATGGCAGAGTAACTGTTGATTTCTGTAACTCTGGATTTCTGCACATTTAAGTTCCATCACGACCTGAATGTCAACTCTCACTTCTATCAAGTATCATGCCTAATTTTATGCCTTCTTTCATATTAGCATTACTTTGAGCAAGTAAATTATTGTGGCTAAAAGAGAAAAAAAAAAACAGAAAATCAAAAACTCCTGATTCAATATAGTTAACTGAACTTCAAAGTATTAGTTATGCATGTTTCCTTCATCACCAACAAAGATGAAAGGAACAGTCACACACTATTTCTAAATTACACTTTGACTCACAAAACATCAGTTTAAAATGTGTCTTGGATACTCTGTGATTATGAAAAGGAGAATWTTTTGTATCAATTTATCAGTACATTTCACAGAATACAACTTCCCAGAAAATCTTTATACAGTTTTCATCTAGAAAAAGCACCTGAAACATGCCCTAAACCGCTCTTTTAAACTGTAAGTACSACTTTGTAAATACATACTCATAAATGTCAATGTATTGGGGTGTCTCTATGCAAGATAAAGTTTTTAGGTACTTTCACAGTTGATCAAACATCATGTGAATCATAACAGTGCCATGAACACAGTCACTTATACYAACATCTGTGCCTCAGAAATGTCCCCAGTGTCAACAAACTAATTTTGGAGTGATGTCTCTTGTCCTGTACCAAAATTCTCTCCTCTCTCTGTTGAAGACCTTGTGTATAATTACTAATTACAACAAATGTTTAAATATTTGGGAAGTATTTTTATTGCCCTGAAAATTGGCTTGATTCAACAGATTTCATAGATAAGAATGATCCCAGTGAATTCAGACTTTCTCCTAACTGAAGCTAGCTGAACTATTTATATGAGACAAAGCTGCCTTCTACATATGCCATTATCTCAACAGCGACTGAATGCAATCCAGCATTCAAAATTCAACAGCGTCATCAATGGAATCATCAGAGAAAAGGACAGTCCCTGAACATTCACCGAATGTATTGCCAGTGATGAATATATTTTACCTGCCTTTCTGGTGGTGTGAGATGTGAAGAATGTAGACCCCAGGGTCTGCCTCAGAACACAAAGATAAGCTGGACACAGTTCTGTGCATTTTTTGTAGCTGCTGCTGCTTTGTGTAATATTATGGGAACTGAGGGATATATTACAGATAAAGTATGGAATAAGGATAYGAGTACTCCTTTTGGGTCAAGTAAGGTAGAACTTTCATGGGGATGTAAGGGGTGAAGGAAATTTGATCTATTAATTACAGAAAACATAACTTTGTAATCTCCCCATTTAATGTTATTCTGTATATGGTCTGTAGCCAGACAGAGTTCTCATCAGAATATCAGAACATGGAGAAATCATCATACTGTTTCTGTCTAAAAAGTCAAAATATCTGAAATAAAATAACTGTTTACACTATTAGTGTATTTCCAGGACATGTATAGAACACAAATATTACAAAAATGGGCACTAATATATAAAATAAAATGGCTGTAAGAAATGACAAAGGTTAAGGCATTGATTTGAGATTTGGACATTTAGGCCCCCACTATTCTGGTGATAGCCTGGTTGGGTGGGCAAATGACTTAGGCTGAACAAGAGCTTCAGCTTTCTGAGGCATGCCACAAGATATCCTGYCTCTTCTTCCATGTTGGTGTGTAGCCAATGCATACAACAGTTCTTGTATCAATTTCCTTTTCCAGAAAAAAGGATGAAAAAAGGGCCTGTTGCCCAGCTGAATTTTGTCTCCTGATGTACAGCTGGGACATAGCCTAAAGGCACCTCAATCCAGCAACCTGGAACTGCTTTTGGATGTCTCATGATAGACTCAGGCTTTTCCCCAATGCCTCAGTTTCCATAAATCACTTTTTTATACTGAGTCACCTTTTTTAAACTGAAGCTTTTTACATTGCTCGCAGAGCCTGGTTTGCAACGCTGTTCTATACACTTGGCACCACAGTCTTGTGCTAAATATTTTTGAGGARAAGAACTGCCTTGGTTCTTGAACTACTTGGCTAACTGACAAGTAAGATAAATCAGCAGTGTTCTTTGCCAGGCCAAAGATATTTTTACCTCACCCCTAAAATACTTCTTCTTTGCAGAGCATAAAAACTCTTTAAAATTCAAAGCAGGTACACTTTCCAGCAATTTATCTAGAATGAACAGCAGGATACAAACTTCAGGAAGAAAGTTGCTTTCTCACTTATTTTTGAAAGCTGTTTTTTCTCCTCTTGAATGCTGTATTCTGCATTAAGTGAAGCATGATGATACCTTTGCTTTTACCACAGGCAAACAAAGGTTGCCATGGCAAGCAGGCTCAAGAGGCGGACGAAATATCAGCAAGAGCTGATGTTCACGTCCACCGGAGCTCTGAACTGAAATTTTCTTTCATCTTTTGCCATTTTGAAGTGTCATCCTGCACACAACAACAAAGTGCTTCATATTGACATAGACTTTCAAATGTAATTAAGAGACAATTTTCACAGGCTCAGTTTTACCCAATAGCACAGTAATTGTTTGGCATTTAACAACAGAATGACTGGCACTTTCATGCACTCGTGTTGTCTTTGCTCACGCTCTCTTGCTTGGATCATTATTGCTTCAAGAGCAAGACAAGAAGATCTGCAGCTCAAATGACTGCATCGTAAGCAGGAACACAGAGCCCASTTTCGATTTTGAAACTGACTGGTTTCTGATGAAAATTATGGGCAATACAGCACTGTCACCCTGGAGGGGCAATATTTCCTGCTGATAACAATCAGGCATAATTGCTTGCTTTCACTGGTACAAAATAGATGCTGCTACGATGCATGAGGGGAAGCTTGATTTCTTGAACATAACCCCCTCCCTAGCAATTGTAATGATAAAGATACAGAGCGAGCAGATGAGTAAAGAACTATACTGGAAATATACTGGTGTAGGTACAGCTCCATCTAGCACAATGACAGAAGATGGGTTGAATTCATTCTTGCTRGGGAATGTATTGGGAAGAGTTCATTGGAATATGCTGTAGGCATTTTCAGCTGAGATCAAAGAAAGAAGCCCCCAGTTCTAGCATCTAATTCAAATGTATATTAGAAACCTGTCTTAGGATAAAATGGGTTGTGCCCTGGTCTCCAATGAACAGACTCCAGAGATTATCAAAGGAGCACAGAACAATTATTCAAAATTCAATCTTCTTCAYAGTAGAAAACTATATTAGATAAATTAATAGCTGTGACCAGAGTTGCATTTGCAGAATGACCATGTGCTAGTGAAKCCATGGCTGACAAACAGTATAGCTTTATTATGCATGCAAGGTTGCCCATTGGTAATATATTCACTGTTGTTCAGGTTATCTGTTCAGACATTTTAAGTTTAGTAATGAAGTCCATGTCAAAGTTTGGGGCTTTGTTCTAGTTTGGATATGCAKTGGCATCTCAAAATTGTATTATCTACTGATAGAATTGCTTTGGTTCAAATTTAAGCAGCTCTTCATTTTACTGTAATATTCCAATATTTCCTTTTGTTATATAAGAAAAACTTAAATTAATTTCAACCTCTTTGACAAAAATTGACAGAGTTTCTACTACATAGTGCTATTTTTAATTATAGAAGTTTATCTTCTATGTTCTTATTAATTGCTTGATCTTTGACAATTCTCCCCCCCTCACCCCCCAAAAAAAAGAAGGGTCTTACAGAAATTGACAGAAGTAAACAATTACACATGTAAAAGGTAGACTTCTCAGCTATGAAACATTGCTGCATATTGTTGGTAAGTATGAACTCAATTCACTGAATAACAGATTAAAGGTCTCCATSCTACACAATTCTGATTTTAATTTTAACCCTACATTTTAAATTGAATTACTAGCAATTCTTCACACAGAAATGTTTTAGAAATCAGCTGCTCTAAAAACAAAAGCATTACTTTTATGAATGATCCTGCCCACCTATAGACATTCTCACAGAGCATCMGCCTTTCTGAAAATTTGAAAGGAATCCATGTGGCAGCAAAARAAGAAAAAATTCCTTCATTAGTGTCCTAGTATAAAGATTTTACAAAATCATGGAGTTCACTAACTCACCTGCATTCTTTTTTCATCTCCCCTCTTACCTGAATGACTCCTCCGCCTTGGCCATGCTCCCCAGCTAAAAACTCTTCAGGCAAATTTACCATCTTCCCCAGCCAATCCAGCATGACAGTCTCCAACTCTGTGCAAGCTGGACTTGCAGCCTGTGTTGAAAAACAAAGCAGAGGGAATAATCTCACTAGACCATGAAAAGAAATCAGATCTACCAGAGCAAGAATAATTCTATCCCTGTCTCTTTCTTTTGATTATAAAGGAAGAGACTAGATGTCACCAGCCARGTTAAGGACCTGAAGACCATTTTGTGCATGTAGTTTCTAATGCTTACTAAAAAAGGTCAAAATAGGCTTTACATAGAATCATGACTATCAAATGTCAAAGCTAGGATTTGAATATTTTTTGTCAACTTCAAATACCAGCCTCTTTTGAGAAAAGTCTACCTCATATGAATGTGGGGGTTTTAAGACAATTTTCCATTCATCCAGATGAAAAAAAGAAATAACAACATTGGATGCTAGAAAATAGCCATACTACTTTTGGATTACCAGTACGTTTGCATTGCTACCACTAATTCTAAAGAGCAAAACATGTAAGAGGAAATAACCTTTTATTCCTGGAATCATTCAGGCTGTCTATATGAAAACCCTTAATTAATGAAGGAAATCTACCTACAAAAATACTCCTGTGACTTCACTGCTRTTAATCAATAATTTCATTGCAGAATGTTACTGAAATGCTTAAAATCTTGGCAAGGTGAAGCATCCATTACAGCAGGACACACCAGAGTAAACTCACCCAAGAGAAGCCCACACATCCTATTCCACCACACAGCATATCTGCAAGAAGAGCTGGGAAGGAAGAGGCTGCAGGRAAGTAGGCAAAAAAGTATGGACTGTGCCAGTGGGTCACCTGTATCAAGGGGAGAATAGTTATTTTTAGCTAGTACAGGAAGCAGAAACAATTTGTCTCAAAATAAAAAAGGTTGGATGTTGTGACAAGCCAACAGTTCCTGATTACCTGGCTGTAACACAGGAACTCACTTTTTAGAAAAACTTACCTTGTTTTTTTCATGATTTTTATCTGTCTTTTACTCACACTAAAAATAAAATAGTTCCCACCCAAAACCCAAACAGCTCCAAAATCAGAGTTCTAAATTTGTCTTCCTAGAAGACAASAATTGTGTGGGCCATGGCAGCCTGAGCTTCTGTGCAGGACACTGTTCTTGAGCCTCTACCATCAGGAATTCTCTGGTATTTTGTTTTTCCATYGCTGTCATGCAACTCACATAGGAAGAGTGTCTTCAGAGCAGCAGAGGTCCACAGAACTCTCTTGCCCACACTGTCATATTATTTGTTAATACTCAAACACTGAATCTGGCCAAACACSTCCTCACCACAAAATCAAATGGCYCATCCCAATAAACAATAYCTTCTGGAGAAAATTAAACTCTCATCTYCCTTCAACAAGTTGTAATTCAATGTAATACAATTCCACTTTATATGTACCAATATGAGAAAACAATACAGTAAGTGCATAAATGGTAGTAAATTGTTCTGCCAAAGCAATATTTTGAATTATTTTATGTAACATCCAAGCCATTTTAAGGATCTGTGAGACACTTAATAGTCCTCCACAACTCCAATCTAATAAAATTTGAAAGGAGAAAATGTGCAGACACACTGCAGGAAATAATGTGATATGTGATATGTTTGGCAAGAACAGCTTTCACATTCAAGGTAAAAGGCAAATTTTTGCTTCTAGAGCTGTAAGCAAGAATTCAGCAGAATTTGTGTAAGATTTTTTTCACAGTTGGAAATCCAGACGAGGCTGAGTTATTGAAGGCTAGCCTTTTCTTACCCCATTTTGTTTCCTTTTTTTTTTAATACTGGAATTCTTCTGTTACAGCTGAAGGATAGTAGGAATATACATTTTGTCTTGCTGAAGTTCAGTGTTACTGTGCTGTTTTGTTCCACATTCCCACCTCTGATGAATTTTACCTTTTACACTCCTCTCAGTCTGTGATAAGGTTTCCGGTTCTGGAGCTAACTCAGGGATTGCTGTACCACACTGTTCTGCATACTGCAAATAATCCTTTTCTTTCCTCTTAAAACCCTCATCATACTAACAACCAGCTCTTCTTTAAGGAATGTTATCCATGCTAAGGTGAAACTGTTTTAACTCTTTACAGAGTTAATCAGATATCACTTTCCCAGCTGCAGTATACCAAWTTCAGATGACCCCAACTCTTTCACACGAAAAGAGCTCCATTATCCATCACAATTTTCCACTGTTTAAACGAGCCATATACCTGGTATATTCAAGATTGTATTTTTACTGATCACTCGGTTCAAACCTGTCAAATCAGCTATCCAAAGACAAGCCACTGTGAACATTTTCAGCTATATCTCATATTTGATTGGGATACCTYTCTTTGTTGTAACAAAGTTTTAGAGCACTTGTGGCAAATGCCTTTYTTCACGAATCAGAAAAAAAAACCCAGATGGGATGTGGCTCTTCACAGGAAAACAATAAAATATTTAAGAAGTAGCGGTCCCCAACAGCATCCACATGCACAGACTTTCACTGACGTCCATAATGAGCCTGTGCTGCCACTGTTCATCTCCCCAGCTCTAATCCTCTGTGATCTGTAGGACTTGTGACATTCATCTTGGGTTAATCAAGTTAAACTGACTGCTTGCTGGGAGCCATTTGTTTGATGAAACACAGCAGATTCCAGTTGCACCACTCACAAAAAGCGAAAAAGCCAAAAGCCCTGGGGCAAGTGCAGCTGTGCTTCTTCCTCCTGCTTCCCCTTCCCCCTTCCCTTGAAGCAGCTGTAAAWTTTTTTTTTTTTCACCATGTTGGAACAGACACACTTAGTCAGCTATTGCAAAGAGCCTGATATAATTGATGCCTGTTTTTTTAACCCGCTGCTGATAAATAATGATACACAAGTGTCTTGGGTTCACTTCAATTACCACTCTAGCACTTTTTGGAGATATTTTATTTCCAGTATTTTTTCTAAGGATGTCTTTCTCTGCCTTGCTTAGTCTAAGCAGCAGTCTACCACACTCTAAGGATAGGTACATCAGCTGAGAACTCATAGATTAAAGTGTGAGGAAAATAAGCATCTTTAGTACTGTTATTTGCAGTTACCACTACATTTGATCATTTTTGGCTCTAAAAAAGGAGGACAACAAAGCAAATCTGAGAGAGAAAGGCAACTCCCATTGATATCTTTACATGCAGATCCTTTCCATGTTGTCTGCTGTGGAGACCAGAGTTCTGCAGTTATTCCCTCTGTCTCCATGTTAGCATCAGGAACCTAGCACCATTATCATTTGGTGGACTGCCCTTTGAAGGTCTACCTTAGATTTCACAATAAGTCCCCATACAGAAGTTTCACCAGTCATGAATGCTTTTCTCAGGGCAAAGACAGCAATAGATACTGCATTATTATTGCTTCACACAACTAATTGATCCTTGCTCTTCTGAAGGGACACCATTTTCACATTTTTAGCCATGCAATAAGTAACAAATATCTGGAGAAAACTAACACAGCAAAGGTGTMAACATGAATGAAACAAGAATCACTTATGGGCCACTAATAGCTTACAGGCAAAACAAGGGTTTATGATATGCCATATTACTTATTCTTTCTGAAGAAGCCCTTTCTGAAGTTCTTCCTTTATAAAATGGAGATAAGATTCCCATGTGAAATAGTGGAAAAAACATTATAGCTGAAAAACACTAGATGTACTTTTAAATGTTATTCTTGTCAGGAAAAACATGGGAAGAAGATTAAAGGAAAATACAACTTGATTAGGGCAAAAATATCTTTGCAAACTGGCTGGATAACCTAGTTAGGAGAGATTTAAACCAGAAACAATGAGGGAAGGAGGTGAGAATCCACAATCGAGGCAGGAAGATAGACCAAACTGGCAAGCAAAGTGTGAAGGGTAATGTGGACATAAGAGAACTCAAAAAGAAGCTAAGGCTAAAGCAGACTGAGCCCCAGTGTATCCACATAAATAAGGAAGTGCTGAGAGGGCAGCATTAGGGCAACAACAGGACAGAGGAGCTCTCACATTTTTCTGGGAAATCAAGACAAACGGGTGCCTCTCTGAAACACCTGTAAGCTGTAGTACAACACATGGGGAACAAACGAAGGAAACAGAAGGCTGTGTGCAGGTATTGGGCTGTGACTTCACTGGAATCACAGAGATGCTGTGGGATTGCTCACATGACTGAAGTGCTGCAGCAGGTGAGGATGGGCTCCTCAGGAACGTCAGACCAGGAAGGTGAGGCAGAGGAGTGGTCCTTTATGCAAGAGAAGACCAGGAATACACTGGGCTCTGCCTAAGAGTGGACAATGAGCCAGTTAAGAACTTGTGAGTCAGGACTGGTGAAGATCTCAAGATGRGCAACACTGGGGAGGTGTGTTTGCTACAGACCACCTGATCAGAAGAAGCACATGAGTGCAGCATTCAGACAGCTGGAAAAAACCTCATGCTCATAGGCCACAGTCCTCACATCTGCTGGACCGACAACACAGCAGGACACCATCAGYCTAGGAGTGTTCTGGAGGGCACTGATAATCATCTAACACAGGAAACTGAGGAGGAACTGAGGAAAGTGTGGGGCATAGTGTGGGACTGCATATTTACCAACAGGAAAGAATTGGTGAAGGCAGTGTCCTGGGCTGCAGCCAAAGCAGGATGGCCAGCAGAGCAAGGGAGRGGACTCTGCCCCTCTGCTGCACTCTGATGAGACCCCACCTGGAGTGCTGTGTCCAGGTCTAAGATYCCCAATACAGGAAAGACATTGACCTGYTGGAGTGAGTCCAGAGGAGGGACATCAAGATGATCAGAGGAATGGAGCACCTCTCCTATGAGTAAAAGCTGAGAGAATTGGGATTGGTCAGCCTGGAACAGAAAAGGCTTTGGGGTGATCTTACYGTCACCTGCCAGTACCCAAAAGGAGCCTACAAGAAAGATGGAGAAAGACATTTTTCAATGACATGTAGTGATAGGACACAGGGGAATGATTTTAAACTGGCAGTGAATTTAGACTATACATTAGAAAAAATTTCTTTACTGTGAGGGTGATGAGGCACTAGAACAATTGTCCAGGGAGGTTCCAGGTGTTCCTTGTCTGGAAGGGTTAAAGGCYTGGTCAGATGGAGAACGAAGGGGAAAGGCCAGTACTGTTTAAKCTCTTCATTAAATAGCTGGATAATGGGATAGAGTGCACCCTCAGCAGTGTTGCAAGTGACATGAAACTGGGAGGAATGTTYGACACGCTGTATGGTCATATTCAAAGGGACCTTAAGTGCCTGCAGAAATGGGCCAACAGGAATCCCACAAAGTTTACCAAAGAAATGCAAAACCCTCTAGTGAGGAACATACAACCCCATACAACCCAGGGATTGACCGGCTAGAAAGCAGCTCTGAAGAAATGGACCTGGTGGTCCTGGTGGCCAAGCTGAACATGAGCCAGCAATGGGCCCTGGCAGCAAACACTGTGACCCAAGAGCATCCTGGGCCATGGTAACAAAACTCTTGCCAYCAGGTCAAAMGAGGWGATCCTTCCCTTCTATGCAGCACTGATAAGGCTACACGTGGAATGTCACCTCCAGTTCTGGATTCTCCAGTACAAGGAACAAAGACATAGCCATACTGGAGTGATTCCAGTGAAAGTGGAGATTATCAATTGCTGCATCTCTCATATGACCAGTGGCTGAAAGAACTGGGGTTGTTCAGCTTGCAGGAAATTCAGGGAGTACCTTGTTAATGTGTACTAACACCTCATGGGAGGGTGTGATGAAAATGAAGTCAGATTCTTTTCAGAAGCAGCCAGTGACAAGAAAACAAGAAATGTGCACTAACTGAAATACAGAAAGTTSCACTTAAACATAAGATCTTTTACCGTAAGGGTGATCCAACTTTAAAAATAGGTAGAGTTCATCCTTGGAGATGTTCAATGACCAGTTGGGCACAATCCTGAACAACCTTCTCCAGCTTTGAGCAGTGGGGATGGACTAAACAATCCCCAGACATATCATCTAATCTCTGCTATACTGTGACTTTGTGATTCTCTGCTAATGCAAATCTTAAGAACAGAGTATAATCAACACAGATAGAATTAGAGCTACTATAAGAACTGGGRTTTATATTGTGCTCTTTGTGTCACTAACACTAACATTTCACACCAGTGAAAAAATTTAGGTGAGAACATTTTTTCTTCAGAATGTATCACTTTGTAAAAGTAAATTTGTTTGCAGRGCACGTAAATATCAAGAAAAAGTCAATTTAGTTAAGAGGGAACATGACATGTTGATGACATAATTGGAATTCAATGTCTCACTTTCTATTCTCAATTGATTCATCTCTTATTTTTCAATCCGTTGTTATTTCATTGAAAGTTCTCAAGTGTTCAAAGTGTTTTCTGTTCTACTTCAGACATTACTACTTTCCTCCAATGAAAAAGAAAAAGGTAATTATATCTATGAGCAACAATTAAAGTATTTGCATGTGTTGGACATAATTCTCTTATCTAATCTGCATTGATTTAATTCTCTTGGATTTAAGACTTCATCCCCAAACCTTTGAAAAAAGAGCAGAGATTTCAAYTGAACTTCAGTGGAGGTTTTGCCTGTTAAAGGACAGCAGGGTTGGCTCCAAAGATAAAGTCATATTGAATATCAAATATTTACATTGGTCAATGAAGAGGAGTTGGTATTATAATACACTGACTAAAGCCATTTGCAGATTGTGATRTCCCCTCCCATCACAATCATATAACCTAGCTGCATTTAGATTAGAAACCCAAAGTGTTTATTGCAGAGACCCAAAGACGAGATTCCTCATTAACATTTACTAATAATTTGATCCTCTTCAAGCCACTTAGAGGCCTTTGGAGACAAGCATATATTTAAAATAAAAAAGGTGTATCATGAGTGGAAAAACAAGAAAGATTCAGGCCTGAACAAATGCCAGATGCTTTGTTCTGCGTTGTCTGCCCAATACTGATCTATTCAAGGACTAACATTTAAGCATAAGCTCTCTGCCTTAAAAGGTACGAGAAGAAGTTGACATTTAGGAGAGTAAGTCAACAGAACAAATACTGGGGAGAATCCTTTCTAGTCAACTGTAATAAAAATAAGTCTCCTAAGAGAATTTTAACATTTAAAGATCAGCTTGAAGGAACACTTTGGGCACAGCAGACTAATAAAAATACTATTTTGTAAAATATTTACTGTGCTATGAAAGTAGTAAAAAAATCACATAAAATTGAAAGTAATGAAGTTTTGCCTTAACCAGTTCAAGGGAGGAAAGGGAATTATTTCCAAAGGCAAGCCATGTGTGAAGCAAAAAGAATGATTTAATTATTTCTAGGAAGAACAGAAAAYATTAGTTAGATCATACTTAACGTGTTAAGCTGACTCCTGCCTTCTTAAAGTTAATCAGTGTGTGTACTTATGTTGGTAAAGTCTAGCTGCACAGCCRTCAACCCACACTTTCTTTAAGGTCTTTGAAAACCAAACCTAAATGCAGTATTGAACATTGCACYACAAGTCCATCATTTTTCTTACCCCTGGCATAATGATCTTCTCAATGTCTTTAAAAACATCCTCAAAGCTTTCAGGATCCTGGGGTGCAGAGTCTGCGATGAGGGGCCTTAGGTATCCTGGTTCCACATCTGGGAAGACCTGTCTYTTTTCTATCTTCTCCAGGTAATCTGCAACATAGTCCACCATCTCCTTTCCTCTCTTGCGGAATTCAGCAGCATCCATGGGTATCAGAGTTTAGGGTTTATTCTCAGAAAAACACTTCTAAAAAAAGGAAAACAAAAAGTCATTTTTGAAAGAAAATTTTGCTAGTTTTAAACCTACTGTTTAAACCTACTAGTTTTAAACACACTTAATAATTACTAGTTATTCAGATGATTTGTAGGAAAATTCATATGGTCATGATAATAGATTAGCTTAATACAAGCAGACAGTAAGTTTAGCACAGAAGAACAGTAGAAGCACATTGATGAAGACTCATGAATTAGAGATTTAATCCCTATGGCTGCTCGTTGACAGAAGCATGTGGCACTGCTAAGTATTAGCACATAATAAAACCCCTCCTGCCTTATAAAGAAGAGGTCTAAGAAAATAGCCTGCTGAGTGTCTCTATTATAAATCTGTAATAACAAGTTATAACAATCATAGTTATCACAGTGATCTACTGTGCTGTCCTGTCATTTTATCTGCTTCTTGACTCCTGTATTTCCTCAAGATTTAGCTTCTTTACTCTTCACTGTAAATGCAAATACACATTCTGTGTCATCTACAAAATTTTGTTTCTTAGTGAGGTTTCAAACAGAATTCACTTCGAGTTGATCTGTACTGCATTTTGCAGGCGAATGGGAGGAAGCTCTTTCTGGGGCTGTCCATATTTTCAAGCTATGCTGGAGCCCCAGGTGTTCTTTGAGACAGGCAGATTGTGTGAGCACACTCAAAGCGATACACAGCTCAGCTGAGATGAGCTGGAGTTCMRCTGCAAAGYGCTCTGCAAATATRAATTCATAATATTAGGGTGTCTGCWCCTGCCCCCGGGCCCACACAATTTTTTACTCTATGTAGCTGTGCATTTTGAGTATTCAACAATGAATACATTGTTAAAATTTGTATTCACTGAGTACCTAAAAAGTCCCACAGTCTATACACTCAGATTGAGGGAYACTGCTCGTTGGAATCTCATAAGAAGATTGGCAAGTGAGAAAAGAATACTCRCTGCTGGAGTTAAGAATTACTTGCTTAGCTCACACACCTTTAGATCTTCACTTTTTAAGAAAATACATGAGGCACAATATGAATTTTAGACAATCAGGAGACAATTTTTCAGATATCAAGTGTTTGTGGTAAGGATTTATAACTGAGGACATAATTTTGAGAAAGGAGAACCTCCTCGGCTTTATTACATTTTAATTAGCACTGTAACATCATAAAAGAAAGACATCATTAATAAGGACTGTTGTTGAGACATCTCTGCTGCTACAAATAGAGGATCTGAGATTTGTGTACAGCAGCTGCTGCTGCTATTCAAGAAGGCAGGGTGCTGCTATGGGTCACAAAACACTTGGGAGAGAAAGGATCTGCRTAGTAGGGTCTTCTAGACTCCCCAGAGAATGGCTGATCCTGTTGCTATCTTATTAGAGTTACATTATTCTCTTTAATCATCATCTAAGTGTTTATTTGGTTGTGATTTTCATAAAGAGGTATCAGGACCTTTCTCTTATCTTGCTGCTAAGTTCCTGGAGATACATTACCAGTGTTCATTACAGTCCTTAGGGTTTCCAGTGGGCAGCTCTTTTGAAAAGCTGTGTTTAAGCAAGTAATTTTGCTTCTACTCCTCTAAAATCAGGATGATCAATTTTTTTCTTACCCCCTAAATCTTATATGCATTTTCATTTAACACTTCTTTGTTCAMTGTTCAAAATTTTAATAAACTTCCTAAAGAAATCAGAATGAACTGCAGCAATCAATACGCATCTCTGCGGCAGCAATCTAAATCACCCCAAGGCTCTGTCCTTTGGTTTAGATATTTTTGCCACAAGAAATCTAAATATTRTACTGTGTCACTTCTTTTTCAATGTATCTCTAACTTAGTCCTTAACTTATGCTATTATTATTTCTTTTATGCTACTTCATTCATGGGTTCATTGCTATAGCATGCTCTACAGAACTTGCATGAGGTAAGCTGTTATTTTTTCCTTTGGTTTCAGAGAAGAAAGCTGTGAAAAAAACCAAATTAACACATAACTGACAAATTAGTGAGAGATTCCTGAGACTGAATGGACCCAGTACATGAGGATTGGTGCTTCCAGCACTCCAGTTGCTCACCACTGTGTTATAGTTATTCTTACAGCCCTTTACACACAGACCAGTTCAGCTGAGTTCCACATCTGTGGAACTAAGGACAGCATCCAGACAGGTAAGAGTGTCACTGTGTRAGAGCATCACTATACTACTCTCGAGCTTTACTTCATACTAATCAAGTATAGGGCACCACTTAACAAAAAAAAATCTCTGTGGATCGCTTGGTCTTTTCCTAATGTACAAATCAAATGGCATAAATTAAATCACATTGTGTGTAAGATCAAAACAGCTCACAAACACACAGACAAAAATGAATTTATTGTATCATATTACCAGAACACATGTTCTATATGCTATGTTTTATAGCTTGTGACCATTTTTGCCACCATCTAAAGTTCTTTTACCCAAAATTTGTTTTACAAGTAACATTTACATCATCTTGTTGCTACACACTATGATGATATAATTCATATAATTCATATAATTCATTGCATATAATTGAATAGTAAAAGTTTGGTCAACGTTCTTCTTGGATATCAAGATAAGCAAATATAATTTATATCTAAATTTCAGACACACATTCCATAGTTTCAGCCAATTGCTATCAAACTCAATTAAAAAAAAGACATATTTTATATAATCACTGAGATGTTGTTTGTTATTGGCTAACTTTACTTCTTCCCAAGAATGGGAGGTYCAGTGGCTCATCCTAGCATTGTTTTGGCTGCACTGCTTCTGTCACAAATCACTGTTGCAATAGCAACACCTTCTTCAGGTAAAGAATTAAATTACAGGGGAAACCCACTGTTTTGCATGGAAGAAGTAACTCAACCAGGAGGATTAAGCATTAAGARTGGAAAGTTGATTAARCATTAAGAATGGAAAGTTGAACCTTCTATCCCAAATGTGCTACAGCAGTTGCAGTGTTATAACTTGATGCGAAGCAGTATTTACTTAACCTCTAATATTCTTACAATTCAGTTTGATCCAGTGAAATATGTCAATCTGCTTCAATCTGAAGTACTTAATTCTTCCTTCCTCCAAAAACAATACTGAGAAATTAAAAATCTATTTTTTTTTTTATTAATGTATCTTCCTTCTTGAAAGTTCTTCCCTGAAAATTCCTTACCTACTGTAATAAATGTATCCCACGGGGGAACTGTGAAGGCAGAGTCCTTGCAGGAACACAGTGGTCATCCTTTTCACCTCCTATTTTATATCCATTCTTCTGTGAGTGACAAGACCYACTCAACACTTTTGCCCTATTTTTATTCTCTTCCTGAACTGCTCACTATGGATCTCACTTCATCTGCTTGAAAGTACTACCTGCTATGGAAGCCATCTCCAGTAGACAATTGTAATGCTCACCAGTTAGTACTATCAAAATGTAAATTACTTCACCTMTTTACCAGTACAGAGCATCTCTACCTCTTGTACGCGCATACAACTCATGTACAATGCAAGAACACAATGCATGGTAAGAGACCTTCCCTCTGTGCCACCATATTTTAAAAATATAGAGCTTTTCTAAGACACAAAATACTTCAGAAAGCTCAGGCCTTCGGTTATAAAATGAAAAAACTGAGATAATCCATATTTTCTGAAGGGATGACTTACAGTCTGCATGCACTCAAAATATCCACTTAAAGAAACTTAAACTGCAAAATAATGTAAGCCAAGTTTCCAAAACAAAATAGAAATTTCAGAGAAACTAAGACTTTCTCTGAAGTATTTAATAGTGGTCTATCTTCTTGAAGACCCCTAAAGTGAAAAAGGCTCCATACTTTCAGAGATCCCACACTCCCCAGGATGAGTTTCAGTATATTCAGTATCTGCCAGCTGAACCCCATGTGAGGAGAGCAGTTTCTCAGGAGGTGCCCTGCCTAACTATCAACCTCTATCACACTGTGAGCAATCTGTATGCAAATTCATTGACAGTCTCACTCTGATTGATAAAATAAWTTTTTTACCAAGCATATAGTCTGCCTGAGTATTTTTGTTCCCAGCAAGATTCAATGACTATTTCCACCACAGCATACTTCAGATCAAAACCTACTTTACCGGATGAAATTGAGTTCTCCTTAAAACTGCAGGTAAAACCAATAAAAATCATGTTAAACCTTCCATTATATCAGTATATCTTTTTTACTTATTCAAAGATAAGCTCCTTGGTCTTTGATTTTGCTGTAATTTGTCAGAGGACAAGTACACTACACAATCTAAAGCTGACATATCMTTTGTTTTTTAAAGTACACCTATCTAAGTGCATTGAAATTAGAATATGGCCACATTTTATTTCAGTGAAGTTACTGAAAATTGTTGTAAGTCTTTAGATTGCATATATTCATTTGCAAATAGTTTTTTCTACTTTATCTGAAACTGAACCATACAAATGAGTAGTTTACACACAAGGAATTATTAAAGCTTTTTATAGTTATAATACTATTTTGATAACATTCAGTTTCATTATTTCTGTTTAAAAGTATTGTCTATAATTTTAGAATCTGGGTGGGTTTTTTTCATATTTATTAAATATAAATGTAAAATGTATGTAAATGCTACCAGGAAATGCATTATGAGAAAGAAAAAGAGAAAAAA